CACGGTTGGGGTGCAACCAATCCGCGCCCAAAATCACATCAAAGTCAACAATATCTAACGGGATAAGATCAGCTGGCATAAGCACACCCTCAACTATCACTGGACACCCTGGGTACACACGATCTATAATACATCTTTCCCCTCTAGGCATAGCCAACTCTAACTCGTACCCTAGAGGTGTGGGGCGAGGTTGTGTCACTTGAGCAAATGTATGAGAAATCACAGAATGTGTAGCTCCGCAGTCAATTAATACTCTAGCAAAATAACCAAGTATATTCAACGTACCCATGATCAAATCCGGATTGTTCTAAGCGTCCTGCAGCGAACGTCCATGGGTCTGCTGTCGTCCACCGCGACCTCTGCTCGTCTGACCACTGCGACTCTGAGTACCACGCCCCTGACTGGGCTGACCAGACTGCCTGGAAGACCCTGCACTACTCGACGCAATCTCACCCTGCTGAAACTGTCCTCCCTGAAACCACTGAGAACCGCTTACTGGAGCTGGAGGATACGGCATATAGCCGCTAGAGTACTGAGGAAAACCACCCTGGGAATAGGGGTCTTGGGGATACTGATACTGTCCCAGGGCATAAGGAACAGCATCACCCTGATAGTGATAGGCACCACCTCAACCTGCCTGCCCATAACTACTCGGACCCTGAATCTGCTGGATAGGTGCAGGTGGCGGCAAGAAAGTCTGCTGTAGCTTCTGCTGCTGACTCTGGGGGCATTGCGCAGCTCGATGTCCCATCTACCCACAAGTAAAACAACCGCTGCTGCCCTGCCTACACTCACCAAAGTGTCGGCCATTACACCTACGGCAAAGTGGGGCCCTGCCTCGGCCACCGTCACCCTGTCTCTGGCCTCGAGCACCACCAACAAATCTATATCCACGTCCCTGACCAGTGGCGCTGAAACCACCGCTAGAAGAACTAGAACTAGTACCACCCCTCTTGAAATTCTGGGTCTGACGAGTCCTGAGCGACGTTTGACCTTTACCCTTAACATCTTTCTTCTGATTACCGTTCTTCTCTTCTTCATCACTCTCGCTCGTCTGGTTCTCAGAATCCTCAACTCTCAGAAGAACCTTGTAGAAATCCTGGTAAGTATCACAGTGAGTGGTAGTCGCCATTGAACGCTATCTTTTCCTAGTGCCTAAGCGAAAATGACGAAGCATCTCCGCCGAATTACTAGCAATCTCCGGATGGTAGCGAGACAAGTCAGTGAACTTCCGATAATACTCATTCGCTGTCATCTTCCTCTGTTTCAACTCAGTAAATTCCTGCTTCTTACGATCGATGTACTCAGGGGGAACAAATCTTCTCTTGAACAAAGCAATGAAAACATTCCAATCCGTCTTTTGAGCTGGAGTCAAACGACGAAGTTCCTGCTCCCACCAGGCTGCAGACTCCGTACCCAGAAACCATGAGGTCGTCTCAACCCATTTCTCGACTGGAAGATTCCCCTGATTATTCAGAACACGAAAAGTCTTCTCGATGTGCTCTAACCAACGCTCTGCGCCCTCGTGCCCCTCATTACCCTGGAACTTATCCAATTTCAGATTATACATAGTCTCCAGAGGAGTCCTCTGGGGAGGGCGAATCGCCGACTGAATGGCGGTAGCAATAGCTTCCCCCAGCTGAGCAATATCGGGGAAACTAGACTCATCAGAGCGACGTGGTTCCCGACGAGGCAGCATAGTTCTGACAGAAGGCACCAAAAGCATTAGAATACTCACAAAGACACAGGACTGCCAAACCTAGGCTCTGATACCAAACTGACACACCCCGACCGAGATCAGGGCGTGCTGGCCGTCACGTGGAAGTGACGTAGCCATGTGCACAGTGCGGAAGCTAGTAAGGTGGTAATATAAAAGTACGAATAATAAAAAAAAAAACCAGCATACAAAGGTCAAAGTAATAAGTACTAGTGTAAACGAACCGCTAATTCAGAGCGTTAAGTCTACAGCAGTCCAAATTGAAATAATGCGACAACAGTGCACCCGAAGGTGACCCTACATCAGTGAGTGTCTGTCAGAAATGCCTGGAAGCCCTCCGGGGAAACCACCAAACCTGCTAAGCAACTAGAACCTAGAGGGGCGCAAAACAAAAGCGAGAGTGGGCAAAAACGAAGCTCTTTGAAAACCATTTAGTAAAATACATTCTAACCCCTCGCCGTAAAACCTGTATACTTCCCAGAAAAATAAACATAAGTACGTATGCAAAAATAGGCCAATTATGCTCAAGGATATGCCATACCAAATCTCATATTGAAATACAAGTGCTCAGGTATAAACCGTATCAATAACATATCACTGGCAGCCGGAGTCACCTAAAGAGACCTGTGCGGCTGAATCTAGAGCTCAAATCTCAATCTCAATAGCTAAACCTGCCCACGAGTCGGAACCACCTACAGTGATCTGTACGACAGACCTGGGTGTAATGCATATAAACGCTCTAGTGCTACGATCACGTGAAGGCTGTGCGAATAATCGCGGGTCACCTACGAGTCGGAACCACCTATAGTAGTCTGTACGACAAGACTGTGCACCTAACTTGGATCCAAGCTGAGCGTGTGGTGCGGGAGGTGAACGACACGTGAAGGACTGTGCCCTACTCAGGGCGGGATCACTAACACCGGGGGTGCAGGTTATGAGCTCTCTAAGCACCTCTAACCACTATCTAATGCGAATATTAAATAACGCTTACCTGGCACTTATCTGTGCCTCCATAGCACCAATATATATATATATATATATAACCGTATAAATGAATATATATAATAACCATATATGCAACTAACCATGCATAATAACCAATAATAATAAAGGAATGGCATAAACTAATAAACATATACATAAATTCCTGGGAATTATAAGTATATAGGTATATACGGAAAACAAAAGCCCACTCACTGGTACGTGGAAGGGTCGTAGCCCCCTGCCTCGCGTGAGCACGCTCGTCCTCGGGATACGTATCACCTATATGCGAAAATACTATAAAAACGTTAATTTTAAAGCACATAACCTTCCTTTCGAAATAACTTCTCAAACATTGCTCAAAATGGACAATTGAATATACCAACGTGCTCTACACAACCTCGGGAACACACCAGAATTTTTTAGAAAAATTTTTCACCGCCGCACGCGCACCCACGCGCAGGCACGTGCGGTGCACACGGACGGCATCAACTGACGCCGTTAGGAATATTCCGTCAAAATTGACAGATTTCGTTAACGGCGTCAGGAATATTCCGTCACCTTCTCCGGCGAGTCTCCGGCAACGTCGCCAGCGCTGGAAACTGGGAAAACCTGCAACTCGAGTTTTCTCATTCATTTTTCAACCGTTTTTCATGATTCTTGCACCAAATTAAAGCTTAGGACTAGTAGAACACGTCCCAACAACTTTTAAGAGCTAAAACCTACTAAATCTCACCTGTCACCAACCTTCAAAACCGGCCAAGTTTGAACAGGGCGATCCCGACGTCCAATTTCGTCCAACGAAGCACTCTGAGGCTCCTTGGGACCTCACTAATACATCTACAAGCTTCAAAATCCCAAAAACGAGCTAGGTTATTTTTGCATGAATAGTAACTAAAACGGACCTTGTGAAATCAACGTGAAAACGTCGAAGTTCCTACCTGAAACTGGTATGATCGTGCTCCCCTCGACCTCACGAGCTCGAATATGGCTTTAGTTCTCTCGATCTGTGGGTGTAGAGTGTGGTGGTGCGTGTGTCCGTACGTATGGTGAATGAGAAGGGGGGAGAGAGACTCGGGACAGAGAGCAGGGAAAGGGACAGAGGAATAGGGAGAGTGAGGGTGTGAGTGTGTGGCCCAGATCATGCCAACACACATACAAGACAACCCAAAAACGTAACAGAATAGAACTAGGGCAAAACCGTCTTTTCACGCGTACATTTTCGAAAATTTCGGGACGGGATGTCACAGTACTTGTGATATGGTATAATTTATGGACTTTTTTTTTTGTCAAGGAAATTATTCTTAATTACAAAGAAATAGATTTACATATAAAAGGCCCAGAAGAGAACATAAATAAATAAAAAAGGGGCCAACCAAACGAACGAATAAGTGCCCAACCAAACAGCCAAGGCTTAAAGACAGAAAAAAAAAAAAACTAATAAACTGGCTGCTACCACCTCCACCAAAATAGTGCAACTTGACCGGCGTAAGTATATGCCCATCACCAAACATCGCCTCGCCAAACTCATCATCCAACCCTAAATAGCTCTCTGTGCACATCCACAAAGTAAAGAAACTAGAACTCTACGCACCATCTTGATGGGAAGTATGACTGAAGGTCGAAGCTCAAATGAACGATAGGAAGAGATGCCAATAAAGTAAAAAGAGGAAGACAGATTGAGATGTAGAGCAGAGGAAAAAGCATCAGAGAAGGGGAAAAAAAGAGACAAGGGAAGAAAGGGGAAATTGGCAACCGACCCAACCAAAGCTAGAGTTGGCGCCACCAATTTTTTAGCAGGATTGAAAACCCCATGCTAGAGTCGGCGCCACTTATTTTCGTGTGCGACCCATGCATTTAGATTTAGTTGTGGGCAACTTTTTTGGATAGCGATTAAATTATAATTTAAATGTAACAAAGACGAAGGAAATAGTCAAAGAACCAAATGACCATAAATGCAAATTCATTCACATGCAAACACTTGGGTAAAAATTATACCTGACAATTTCTTACACGATCTGTTAATCCAATGATTCAAAAATAACAAGTTGGGGTCAACATTTTAGCTAATAGGATCGTTATCGGATCACACTTGGATAGAAACTTCTTATTTTCCTTCACGCAGTCAATTATAAAACTAAGGGATTAAAGTAATACATCACAAATTATAATATAAGTAAATGTCATAACCAATATGCCCATTTTAAAAAATATTTTTCAACATCGCTTCACTTATTTAATAACACGTGATGTACATACTTGTGTTTTATGCGCACCGAAAAATCTTTGGACCAGGAGGGGGTAAAACATAACCGACATAACACCGTTATATACACAGAACATAACATTATTCACCCACAATAGTAACCACAAGAAGGGATTTTACATATCCATAAAGCACCCTAAACAAATAGATCGAAGTTGTTATGCAGAATACACAAACACTGCAAACTATGAACAGCTGACTATGCAAAACCAATTTTGCTTATTTAGGCATCGGCTAGCATCCAATAAAGGTACAGACATTAACCCAAATGGAATACTGCAATACTAGATTCACATTGTAAACACCCACCAATCTGCTCATTTACTGCAGAACAATGCATTCTTGTGTCCCACTCACCATAGCAGTGCGCGAGCTTTTGTTAATGGTAGTGTCGACTTCTTCATGAGAACGAGGCTTAACTTCCGGATCCTCCGGCAAATTTTCACTGCCATTATTACCAGAAGCAATACGTTCGAAAATAAGAGCATTCACTTCTTGGAACCTCTCTTCAGAAAGGGAAACCTCTGCCAGGAGCTTCCAAGCATTTTCATCTGAAGCCTCATCGTAGTCCTTTTTCCTCTTCAAGACCATATGCCCACTAATTTCCCACACCGCTGGATTCACCTGTGTATCCAGAATCTCTGCACTCACTTCTCCGAGAGCTTGTTTCTCAGCATAACACTGCATTTCATACGATATGCATGGAGGTGAGTGAAACAGCCTATGTACAACAAAAATATTACTTACGAAGCATTTGCGTTTCATTGACTATATACCTGTGGCAGGAGAAAGATTCGCTTTCCACAATCAGAGATAAGGACATTGTACGGTATGTTGTTTTCTTGAAGGCATATGCAGGCATCAGAGACGGTGTAAGACAAATCTTCCATAGTATTTCCACCCTCAAAAACAAGACCTCTGACAGGATAGTTCAGAAGCTCAGAGACCTTCACCTCAGCATTCAGAGTGGATATTTTCTTGGTAGGAGCCTTCTCAATGGGAAAGGTCACGGCCAAGAAGTAAGCCTATAAACGGAAGAAAATTTGTTTGAGTGACAACTATAAATAGTGAACCCATCAGAAGCTGAATCCAATAATTAACGACAGCTTGCTAGAAAAGTATGGAGTTAGAAACCTGGAAGTGAAGGTGATTGATGGTAGCAAATGCACCCAAGCTGTTGTAACCCAATCGAAAGTAAGGACTCCCAGCTTCAGCCGCCATGTGAAGTGCAAGCAAGACGCTTTCCCGGTCAATCCTTTGTGGCAAACGCTCAAAAATACGAGGAATCAACAGCACATGGCCATATTCAATAGGACTGACCTGTTAAATGGGGGGCAGTAAACGATAAATACCTTTTTCTCAAATACCTTGTTAAGAACAAATAATGCACAAGGAGAAAGAGCTTACATTAATGGCAACAACGCTTGGAGAATTTTCAACATCAATGGGTGCACTAGGGAAAAAGTGAACTTCACCATCTTCACTGGCTTCAAACTGGAATAGAACCTCCTCTTGTCCAACTTTAGTGAAGTTAAACTTGCTGCTATCAAAGGGCTGGAGGACCTTATCAACTCGAAACTCAGTTGGTCTCTTCTTAAGATGGCGACCCTCATTCAGCTGGGCAATGAAACCATATTGCCCTCCGATCACCTACACCGAATTATCAAAGAAATTGGTCCCCATATGCCAAATAAGTATATAGTACATACACATTGTTCCTCAGCTCGAATTCGAATTCCCATTTACAAAAGCTACAAAATTGAGGAAAAGTAAGTGAATACACCTTGGTTTCACAAGCAGTGACATCATAGCGAAATAGCCCTCTCTGCATGCGATCCTCCCACTGTACCATTAAATGGTAAGCAATTGTACTCCAAAATAATTGCTAAACACAAGAGGTAATAAACAAATCTGGTGATCATTCTTCATCTCCTGTAAATCAATTTACCTGCCCGAGAAGCAGTGAGTCAAGAAACGCAACGGGAGGCTCTCTTTTGTCATGTCCGGGCACACCCGTGTCACCATTATTCACGTTCCGCTTCTTGAAGGCATACAATGGAAGTTTTGCCCCTACACAAACCGAAATTGGTACAAAACCCAGTCATAACTAGAGCCTACACCAAGCGAAAAACCATGAGAACCCAACATAAAATCATTTTCTTTAAATTCCATAAAACAATAAAATAAAATAAAATAATAAAAAAAAAGAAGCAAGAATCTTTAATACTACTCCGACCCCGTATATTTCGAATAATTGACAAATACCCAGATAAGAACAATGCCAGAACCAATAAAAAAAACACCAATCAACAAATGAAGAATTTTCTTGACAACTTATCACATAGGGAGGCTTGTTTTACAAAACACCTATTCAAGTGCATAACATATAAAGCACAGAAATTCAAATTCAAAGTGGAGGGCATTTCAACAAATACCTGGAATGCAACATTGGTTAAGGCAATTGCGGCCACAACCCTCGACGCGGCGAGCACCCTCCTCCGCCTCATCTTTCTGGTAATTCGAAACGACGGTGGGAACCCTCTTGATCCTCAACATCATGCTCCCTCCCCTTCTCTCTCTCTCTCTCTCTCTCTTAATTCCCAGTAAAATCAAACACCACCAAAACCAAAACCACCCGAAAACAACAATACGATCTACTCGTGCGCTTTATAGAAGAAAAAAAATCTCTAAAATCTCCTAAGAATCTAACCAAGAAAGTCTTAAAAAGCTAATATAAGCAGAAGAGAAAAACAGAGGAAGCAGAACCGCCACCAGCGAGGAAGAGCAGGTCGGAGGGGCTACCGCCTTCGGAAGGCAAGGCACCACGCCCGCCGTGCGGCGAAGGGCTGCTCTCAATTACACAACCCTTTCGTCGTACAGCCCGGACATGAATGAGCGGCCGAGGAGCTCCGTGTATAGCCGTGATGTCTACAACTTGTCGAACCTGGGTCTTACCCCTAAAAATATACCAAAAAATGATCAAACACCTTCCTTCTTCTTCCTCAGATAAAACCCAGATAGGAAAACAAACCAGAAAGGTGAGGATCGCCTGTTTCGAACTGAATCGAAAAACCCAGACGGAGATTTGCGGACTTAGGGGAGTGAGTGGGGTGTGTGGAGGAGATGAGGGGGTGGATTTATAGGGGTGGGGAGAAGATGGGGGTGTTCGTGGCTGTGGGTGTACCGTCCACCTTGGGGTATGTATTTGCATTTTGGGGATTTTCGTGGCCTTGGATTGTTTGGTGTGGTGTATTTTGGGGATAATACTCTAGCCAATTTAAGCAAACTACGTTTCCGTATTAGTCATGTATATAGAAAGAAAGTAGAAGAGTATAACTTATACCTAAATTGCCCTTTTTCCATTGAAATTTAAAAAAAATAAAAAGATTCACCAAAAAAACCCACACGGGATAAGTTTATTATTTTTTAAAATATATTTTAACAAAAAACAATAATAACTAACACAACTAAAATTAAAAAAAATAAAAAATATATTGTTAAACCAAAATATTAAATAATAAAATAAAAATAGCCAATTATCATTAAAATATGGATATGGTAAGACGCTAGTATAATCATAATGTAACTAATACTTTTTTCATAATAATTCCCTTCCTTGTAAAGTAACCCACCTTTTGTTTTATCACAAACGCAAACGTCCACCTTAGGAAATTTCTCAACCGCAAGGACAAGGACAACATCTCAACGTCCCAATCCACAAAACCCAAAATTCGCACTTCATCTCCGAAGCTTCCCGCTTTAGAAAATTCTGGATATTGTCATTATTTAATTCTTTATTGGACCCAAAAACCAGGAAAATGGATTAAAAAAAATTAAAAAATCTAATCTAATCCCACTTAAAGGACCCCACCACTCAGAAAGAGTGAATGAATATTCTAAAAGATGATTATTTGAATGGATTTGGATTCCATTCGAATCAAACTTGTGAAGATTCTAGAAATCTTGATGTCTTAACCATTCATCATATATCGTGTGATTATAAACTATTTTTTATTTAAAATTAAATACAAATAGTATCTAATAAAAACTAGATATACAATGTACTATGAACAGTTAGGATGTGAGAATCTCTAGGATTCCTATAAAGTGAATTCGAAGAGGATCCTCTTCCCATTTGAATAACTCAACAACTTTAGTTTTAATTGAAAGAAAAATTATTCAACATTTGTACCGCATTAGCACACTAACAAAATGGGGGGATAATGTCTGGCTACTCAAGGATGAGTAGAGATTCCTGCTAAAAAATTTTCATGTTTAAATCATAAAGTTTTGTGCTTATGATCAGAACTTTTCATATTATGAATCACTTTGTAAATATCATATCTGCAAAAAAATTAAAACTAAAGTCGTTCGGTCAATCTATTGTACCAAATACATAGACAGTTTGTAATGTTTTTATTAATTCAATTAATCTGTTTTTACACAATTCAATAACTCAACGACTTTGGTTTTAATTGTTTCTAGCATAGACGATATTTATAAAATGATTTATAATATGAACTATTCTAATTATAGTAATTTTAAGTAAAAACTCCTATTTATCATTTAAGTAGTCCAGTATTGGTAGTTGTTGAATGATACGACCAAATTGATGTTTCATAGTAAAGTTTTGATCAATTTTGAGATTAATGGAGGGAGTCAATTCCAAATACCTTTTTTTGTTTAAAAAAATTAAAATAAAAACCTTAATTTGACCATACTGAGCCTCTAAAAAAGAAAAAATAAATATAAAAATATAACTAATCCCACTTGGAGGGACCCACTAACGATAAACAGTGAATATTCTAATGCGTGCAAACAAACACGTGGGTTGTAAGGCTGCCTGTTGATAATTCGACAGTGATTTGACCATGCAGCCGATTTTAATATTAAAAAAATTGGGACTTTTGGATCTAGATCCAAAAACTTAGGTAGCTTTTGGGACCAAGTTCAGTTATCCAATTATATATTTTGATATCAATTTTGCTCTTTCAGATAAAAATATTTAAATTCTTTAATTTTTTTATCATTTATTCAGTTTTTAAATTTTGAATATTTAAATACTCAAACTAAAATATTATCTAGTAACTACCTCCTATTTATGAAGAAAACAAAACGGATATAATCTAGTAACTACCTACCTATTGTATAGGAAGAAAATGCTTTTACCTACAAAGCAGATATAATCTACCTGCAAAACAAAAATAAAATACCTATTGTATTGGAAGAAAAATGCTGGGAACCTACATGGTAGAACATAAAAATATAAATATGATATAATATACCTCTATTAAAGGAACGAATTTGGAGGGAAGAACATAAAAATATCATCCATGAAAAGAAGAGACAAAAAAGAGGAGGATTGATAAATGGAATTGTTTGGAAGAAGGAAAAAAGGAGGGATGAAACGGACTGGGGGTTGAGGTGATTATATGGCTATAACTAATCCTACAATTAAGGGATTAGTTAAACCACAAATTATCTCATAATTAAGAAATTTTGTGTATTTACTACAATTCGTAAGCCTAATGGGTAAATAGGGTACAAATCACAAATAAACATATATGGAATCTCAATTATTGGACATATTTCAATGAAGTGGACTAATTCTACTAATGGCTCACAAAATTGGATCTATATCAAGTTATCCCTAAAAAAATTAGAGCTGAGTACGAAATTTGTAAGTAGACGGTCCACCGTCCACATTACGCAAAGCAAGCACACAAATTTTAATTGAAATAAAAATTTAGAATTCGTGATCCATGAGATCATCTTCAATGGTTGGGGTAAAAGTCAAATATTTTAGTTCGGAAAATTTAGCTTTTAGCCCATAAACAGCTTTTCTGTTCTAACCGTTCTAGCCTAAAATTTTAGCCCAGGATTATTAAAGAACGAACTTAGGCTATTTTTTTTGTGAAATTAATTTAAAAAAAATGTAGACTATCATAAATTAATTTTAGGAACATTTTAATCTAAAAAAAATTTAAATTCCGATAAATATTGGGTAGAGTCCACTCCGATTTCTGGGCTAAATTTTGGGGGGAATTTGGCCTTGGTTTAGCATTTAGCATTTAGCCCAAATTTTCCCCTTGGGTTGGATTGGGTTTGGGAGGAAATTTTGGAGAGTAATTTGGCTTTTAACCCACCATTGGAGTTGGTACGAGGGAATCATTCTACTGTTGTGTTTTGGATGAGGTGGACTTGTAACTTCAAACCTACCATTGATGATGTGCTATACCTTTCAAGTATTTAGGAGCCTAACCACCCTCATCGTCGAAAGAGGATCCGGATATCTTTTTGTGAGGATTCTTTAATTACGGAAATCTTTCAATCATATTCGTTTACCGTATATCGTGTAGTTATATATTATTATATTTTTTTTATTTAAAATTGAATGTAAACATCACCTGACAAAAGTTGACCGCACGATGTACAATAAATGAAGGTGATTAAAGAATCCTTAAGAGGATTCGGAAAGGATCCTCATTCCTCATCATCAAGCTTGTAGATTTTTTTTTTTTAATCAATTTCTTGATGTCCAAGTTGGTCATTTAGTACTACGGATTTCATTTTCATTTGTACATTAGTTGGAGCTCAAGGCTCAACTTGCATAGATGGCATTATATGGTTCTCCCAAACTAAAGATGAACTAATAGTGCATGTAGTTTAATATCTTAATGAATAGAATGTTATGCATTCTGAATTCTAAACTCTCTCGTCTTTTATTTCTTGTAATAGTTCGAACTCTTCTCTTTTCTTCCAATAACAGTTAATTAAAAAAATAAAAAAAGTACTCTAAGTCGTCGTCCTTAAAGTCAAAGTCCATTCACCAGAACATTCAAGCACGTAGAGGGCCCAAAGTGCTTTGCAAAGCAAAAAGTGGTGGTCCTAAAAATTAAAGGACATGCCCCAGAATATCCACCAAGGACAATCACCTTATCCATTGTCTATGTCTTGCTCACATGGGTGTGGGCGGTGACCATAAAAAATGGGGTCTTCATGCCAGTTTCACTACATCGCTGCATTATCCTTGTTTCTAAAGCTTGTACCTAAACGCCTATATATTGGTATCCAACGCTAAAGTTTGGTAAATTGAACATGTAACCAACAATAAGAGATATTATACCAAATTAATTTTGATGAATTTTTTGAGCTTGTCGCAATGTGGAGCAACAACATTTTTAGATAACACAGTCACAACTTTCATCCAAAATAAAGAGTTAAAGGAGCAAATAAGTTACGTAAGTTTTAACAAGTCATCTAGATGCCCATTGTTCTATATTTGACAAGTTCAATGACTAATACTCATGATATTTTAGTTAAGGATGACACACCCCGACCCAGAAAGTCCACTTGGACCCTGAATCGAGCTGTGCTGGCCGACACCTGGAAGGTGACGAAGCCATAAAATGTGATAGTGTATAAAAAGTGAATGAATTTGATTCCAAAAGTGTCTAAATACCAGAGTGCGCTACGAGTGGGAGCGAACCCATTTCACGCGCGATGTCAGAGCATAAGTAAGGTACAATAATGTGAGTAAGAATCATACCCTCAAAAATATTCATCAATACTAAGATTCGTCACAGATTCTTGTCGATACAAACTCGATAGCTAAAACCTGGAGGGCACCAAACAAAAGGTGTGAGTAAGCAATAAAACCAAGCTTCCCAAAGTTACTACCTCTCTAAAAGTAATGCCCCTAAGTGTAAAACCCGTATCGTTTTCCATAAGACAGTATAACATATATACATATATCCAAACCATACTCGGAAATGACCAAAACCACGGTTTGCCATCAAATCCACCATACATTAATAAGTAGGCCAAATGAACTAAATCAATACAAAGTGATATATCAGTCAGAGTCATCTAAAATGACATGTACAACTTAACCGTATCTCGTCAATTATGGCTAGTATATAAGTCGGAGTCACCTATAGTGACCTGTACGACTTATCCACATCTCGTCAATCCTGGCTAGCATATAAGTCGGAGTCACCTATAGTGACCTGTACGACTTATCCATATCTCGTCAATCCTGGCTAGCATGTAAGTCGGAGTCACCTATAGTGACCTGTACGACTTATCCATATCTCGTCAATCCTGGCTAGCATGTAAGTCGGAGTCACCTATAGTGACCTGTACGACTTATCCACATCTCGTCAATCCTGGCTAGCATGTAAGTCGGAGTCACCTATAGTGACCTGTACGACTTATCCACATCTCGTCAATCCTGGATAGCATGTAAGTCGGAGTCACCTATAGTGACCTGTACGACTTATCCATATCTCGTCAATCCTGGCTAGCATGTAAGTCGGAGTCACCTATAGTGACCTGTACGACTTATCCATATCTCGTCAATCCTGCGTTCACCTTGCACTTGAAAGCATTCTCAATAATTATATGCAAGTAATATACATATTGATATAACATGATGCAATCTAATACTGAACCATGTCGTAGCATTTTCAATTATAAACAATATGGTGTGAAGTGTACAATCAGTAACGCCCTACTCCCAAACTACTTATTTTCAGAGGAATTAACACTAATTTAACCAACTAATTCATAAAACTAAAACTTGTCTTTACCAATTTCCTTCGCATTACTCAATTTCCCAAGCAAGGCTTTTGTCTCAAATATTTTATGGCTGCATCTAACGTCTCGTTAGACTGCCTACGTACCCTAGACAGGGATCAAGCCATTCGTAGTTCATATAGGTACTTTAAGCATTCGCAATAATTATACGAAGGTAATATACCTAATCAATTTAAAAGTGTCGATAGAATTCTCAACAATATGTACGATAAAAAGGAAAAGATCTACTCACCTGGAGTCCACGCTATACTACTCTAGCACGCGCATCGAGGCGTCCTGAATGATCGGTCCCTGTGACCAATTATCAAATCACATCTCAGAACTCTTATCTGAAGAATATGCAATTCACATAAAACACAACATCAACGACATTCTAAAATAGGTTGAGACCTATTGACCACAAGTCAACCGTCGATCAAAGATCGACGGTAGGGTTTACAACCCTGTATAACTTGACCCGGAAGATCCGCATATCAGATTTCCAATCCGTAACTCCCAACGATCCACAATATATTTCTAGAATAACATATTAAAATTTCATTACGATCCAACGGTCAGATCTCCGCCAATTGCCTAAAACAAGTGGCCGTGAACATTTATTTTACTAACTTACAAATCCAATTCAGGAAGATCCGTAAGTCGGATTCCCGATCCGTAAATTCCTATGATCTTTAAATATTACGTATTATAATGTATCCAATTTTGGTGACGATCCAACGGTCGGATCATCGATTCACATTTTTATCAAGTAACGTATCGTAACGAATTTAGGTTCCAACTATCAACCTACGTCATTCAAATGACAAAACTGAATTCAAAACATTTGACATAGCCTAAAAATAACATTGGCGGCCCACTGGCCACGCGCCGCCGCACGCGCCGCCGCGGGTGGCGGTCGGCCGCCCCGACTCGCCGGAAAATCCAACTATTTCCAAAAATTCTCAAACTTCACAGAAATGAAGATCTCAGTGAGTGGAGCAACTTTCATACCTGCCACGAAGTCCAAAAATGGACGGAAGATGGTCAATTTTGCCCACGAAGCCGGCGGGTGCCTAAAACTTCCCGACGTCGATTCGTCGTCCACGGTGGTCCAACGGGGTCAAGGTTGGTTGGGTTTTGCTCCTGGGATGATGGGCTACAAAGCCCAAGTGGTGGCATCGGCCATTGCTTTGCCGATTTGCCGAAAAATCGAAAAGGGTGGCCGGAGCACCATTGATTTTCGTCAACTTTCGTGGCCTCAAACCGCCTCATACCATGGTTAATCAAGGTGGTTCTTGGGTGGGTTTTGTAGAGGGGAATGAGAGCTTCAAGATGGTGGTGGTGGCATCGAAAAACTCCACCGGAGTTGGCCGGAATCGGCCTCGGAAAATGGGCACCCGCGGTGGTGCGGGTGGACGAAACCCACTTTTTTTTTTTTTTTTTTTTTTTTTTGTCCTTTTCTTTCTTCCAATTCTGATTGGGCCTTTCCTCACAAGGGGGAGTTTAATTTAAATAAACGTTAAACCTTGAATAACCAATTTCGAACGTCCGTAACTATACCATTATAATCCGGACTCGCAAACAGCTTTCGCCGATACGTTCGTACCAATAAGTACTACGAGGATATGCTAAAAGAATAAGGCCCACATCTCTCGAGTCGATGGTCAACGGAAGTCAAAGTCCTTGCCTCTAGGGCAATTTTGTAAATTCACGCTTTTAAAATAAAATAAAAACGTAAAATTTGGAACGGGTTGTCACAAAGGAAGACAAAGTTCCAATTTTCTTTTTCTAATATGATCTCACATTTTTTTTTTAAAAAATTTTTGGACAGAGCGATAAATGATTTGAACTTAACTACAAAAGAGGAAGCATAGTAATATTTGAAAGTGTTTTTTGTGAAATTGATTTTGAGTTCAAAAAGCACTTCAATTGTTATTTGGAAGAAGTACTAGATGTATGTTTCTTGTAGGAAGCACGCCAACTGTTTTTGAAGATCCACTTGAATTTTTACTAAAGATTGATATTAAAATATTTTTACTAAAAACGCTTTTAATCATTTTAAAAATAATTCCAAACGAGCTCTAGTATATTTTAGCGCTGCAAAGTATCATTCCATCATCTATGTTAGTGGAGAAGGGCATGTCGTTTTCTGTTTGAAATACGTCAACATTAGAGAAGGTTTCGGCCAATTCACACGGCCCTCTAAAATTCATTCTCATTTGCGGCCTAGTTTCTCCCCGCACCAACCTATCACTTCCAAGTTTCAACGTAAGCCCTGTCATAGATTGAGTAAATATAAAGACTACATTATGTAATAAGAGTGAAAATTTTTCATGCCTTACGCTGTTATTTAATTATGTTGTAATTTTTTAATACATACTCTTTCTCCCAATTCAATCACCATCTGTGTTTTTTATCCTTCGGACCCGACTCATTAAGAAAAAAAAAAATAGATTAACATACATGGATTGATCAACGTGTTTAATTTTACTTGACGTCACAGTTTAATAATGCATTATTATATGAAAATATTTCTCTAAAAATATTATAATTCTAAACATCATGATATTTGTAGACATTGAAATTTCAGGAACTTTCGTGTTCACAATATTACGGTACAGATAAACATATCTCGTGTAAGTTGCTCCCATAATTACTTAAAAAAATAATTCGACTTGTTTATGGAGTCAGAACTTTCTTTTTTTTTAACGTCTATTGAGAGCCAGAATCCGGACCGGGTTCCAGCTTTGGGGACGCAACCAGGCTGCAACAACGGACGAGGTAATCGGCGCTTCCATGGACGAGGTAATCACTGCTGCTGATGCCTCATCAAATGGATCTACATCATCACAGCCGTCCATTCTTCCCTCCAATCTCCCCCTCCTCTCTGCCTTCCTCTCCTGCGCTCTCGCCCAGTTTCTCAAGCTCTTCACCACCTGGTATTATCCTCTCTCTCTCTCTCTCTCTAGGCATTTGAACATGTAGGTTTGTGCTATGATTTGTAATTTTCCATTTTCAGGTAATTTGCTTGATGGGTAATGATGGGTTCTTTTTAATTTTGTGAAATTATGTGACAATTTAAGTTAATTGGATGATTAGGTTAATTTACACGCACTGTTTTGTTAAAAAGTAGACGAATTTCTGTTTCGGTTTTGTTAATTCTATCTGTGTCTTTTGTTTTTCCATTTTGGGTATGCTTAGTGAAGTTTTGTTTGCTCAGGTTTTCAAATATTTGCTCGTAGACGTGCAGGTACAAAGAGAAACGATGGGACTCCAGAAGAATGCTAGGGTCAGGGGGAATGCCCTCATCGCATTCGGCGACTGTGACGGCATTGGCAGTTGCTATTGGTTTCCAGGAAGGAACCGGATCCGCATTTGCCATTGCCGTGGTTTTGGCATGCGTTGTATGTAACTCTTAACCAGGTTTTGTTCATTCTTTTTGTGTAGGCTCGCATGCTCACGTTTAAAATCTTTTGGATTGTCATGTGAAATGCTCGACATAATGTCACGATCCCATTTTGTTTGTATTTTTTTGAGCTTGTTGCATTCCCTATAGATTTAACACCCCGAGTTCTTCTTATTAATGTCACGTTTGAAACTTCAATTGCATTTGTTTTTCTTCACATATTCATTACTCCTACATCAACTTTCCGTTTTTGATTGGATTGTCGTCACTTATATAGTATATAGAATCATTTATATTGGTTCTGTACAACTTAATCGACTACGCTTGGACCAACAATCTTCTTTGATTGAAGATAACATAACAAAAGATAAGTACCAGAATATTGATCTTTGACACATTTGTGAACTGTCGATTGAATAATATAGATTTAAGATCTATGTACTGGTACCATTAACTTGTTGTTTCTTATGGTTTTACTCTGTCTATTTTAATATCTAAACGCACTCCGTTGTCTTTTTGTTTCCTGGGAAGATGTAAGTCTTCTACTTCATATGTTTGACCAGTTATAGGTGTAGACTAGAAGCCCTTGATACGAAAGTTACTCTATGCGGTAATTGACCTTAAACAAAGATGGAACATGAGAAGCACAATCAAAACTTATTATAATTTAAAGAGATGATACGACTATTCTCAGTTCTCAATTTTTTTTGTCACTTTACATGCCATGCACAATTTCTCAAGGAGTTAGGTTTCATGTATATAAAATTACTGTTTCTTGCAGGTCATGTATGATGCAACTGGTGTAAGACTTCATGCTGGTCGTCAAGCTGAAGTAAGAATATTTCGTAGCCGGCATGCTTTGTGAATAATAAAGAATGGGAGTAGTTTGGTGAAGTTTGTTAAGTAAGCTTGGGGTAATGGGATGCTACTGATTGAATATATGCCCATTTGAGCAAATTTGCGTTTGAGTTTCTTCTATTTTCTTTTCTGTGGATGCTATTTGATAATTGTTCCGTTTACATCTTAAAACTTCATTTGTATTCTGGAGACAGTTATTATTATGCATTGTATGCATCGTTTCCTTTGAAGTTAGTGGCCATTGTAATGTTTCTGTTGGCAGTAGCAACACCTTTGTTATATTACTATGTTATTGGGCACCAACAGGCAATACCTAGCTGTTAGCCTGTACATACCTCCTGATTCTAAGGATAAAAATCATAGCACATTATATTATACATTCTTGTTAGTCATGCATTTTACACGTGTCATTTTCCTGTTCCTATAAAGCACCTTATAGTTGGAGCCTAAGACGCAATCCTCAGGTATTATGGTTGGCAAGTGTGGCAGGAATCCAAGGGTCAAACGTTGACATATCATGATGGCCACATATTAGAGGCACTGCTTTTGTTTTTGTTTGTCATTCACTCACTCTCATGATCTGAACACATCAAATTAGAAAGGAATGATGACTAATATTGGAGCGCCTAGCATAGGTGCAGATGAATAGACACGAATTAGGATTCTCAATATTTATTTAAGTTGCAGTATGTTGATGCGTAAGTAGCAATAGGGCCAATCCCATCTTGCTCATTTAAAATTGCTTTCTCCGGGATAAGGCAGGGGTATGTGGAGTAATATGTTATATGCAAGTTAGGTCGAAAATGCATTTCTGTGTTTTGTCCTGAAGTTTTTGAAGCTATATGCGAGTTATTTTATTTATCCTTGTAGCATATATTGCATAGACGCACATGTTCACAGCTATACTGTTTATTCAAAGAAAAAAAGCCATACAACAGTGGATCCATGGTGTATTCATTCTTTACTGATTATGTTTTCTCACGTTTCGTGTTAACATCACCTAAAATTCTGGACCCTGGGGATTGTGGACTTGTGTCCAGCCTTTATATTTGAAGTTATGAACCTTCATCTTTGATTAAAAAATGTTAGTTGATTGTGGTGGTTGTTTACTGTGTACTTGTTTTGTGTAAGTTGTGTAAGTGTCACTGTATATTTGGTTTGTTTCAATGCTTGTGTTTTTACTGTAATTTTCTTTTCTAATTCAATACGTTATGTTGCTTATTGCAGTTGTTAAACCAAATAGTGTGTGAGCTACCTCCAGAACACCCTGTTTCTAGTGTTAGACCTCTGCGGGATTCTCTTGGTCATACTCCATTGCAGGTCTACTGCATTTGCGTCTTCATGTTCATTCGGCATGAGTCATTGTTTATTCATGCACTTGATTGTCAATGATGAAGAGTTAATACGAATGATCATAACCTGTATCTCTGTTTTGTTCGATTCATATTGCCGCAGGTTCTTGCAGGTGCAGTGTTGGGATGTATTGTAGCTTATCTCATGAGAAGTTCCAGCTAGCAGATGGTTAGTGAAACACAGCCTTTGGCGGTGATTTGCATTGTCGAAAAATTCTCAACATTCTTCCCCCCGCCGATGGTGAAAGGATTTAGCAAAAGCGAAGTTTGTACCCAGAATTCATCTGTAAAATCTTTAGAAATCGTGTTTAATTTCTCTAAACAATTGGCTGTATGATGATCTGATAGTTTGATCCCGGGTATATAAAGATGATTTCCAGCTCGGATACTACCAGTGCCATACATTTTTACTCGTCAGCGTTTCATCCGTAGGCTCGAATTATGCGATTGTTTTTCTTCCATTACAAATTCCACTCACATTTACTTGCGACCGGGCGAACATCATGTTAAAAAGGCCGGACAGAGCCGTGCCCGGCTTAGTGTAAATTTGCATCACTGGGGAGCATCCATCTATTACCTCCCAACATTGTTCTTATTCTAGTCAGTCAAAACGAAAAGAAAATCGTCACAAATTAGGAATTTCCAGAATACCTTTGTTTCTATAACCCATCACATTACAAAACCACCATCCAGTTTCTTCATTTATGAGTTTTTGAAGCATCCCCACGACCGAACAACTTTGCTTACTTAACTACTGCACATTCCCCTGAATGTTCAGCAAAAGTTCATCGGCGTTCAAGTAAACCTTGTTTTTGGAATCTGAGATAACCTGTGCGATTTCTCTTGCAGCCTCAATCTTCCGTAGAGTGATAAATGCTGGATTGTTGGCAATGGCTTGACCAATCAGCTTCGCACTTGTTGCTTCACCCTAGAAATTAAGCAGGCAAATAAAAGGAGTCAGACATTTAATTCAATGGACGAGAATCTAAATAAAATGATTAACAGAAAAGAACAGAAAAAAGATTAATCCCATACACACATTCTACCACTATGTCATGTACCAAATTGGAAATCCAGATACTACAGATAAATAGGAGGATGTTTTCCAGCAGTATGGTCCCAATATGTGCGGGGTATGACTAAAGAAACAAATGTTTGATACAATGTGTTGGCATTTAATAATCAGACAAACTCATCCATTATCACGAATGGATGAGCAGCCGATCAATGTTGCCACCCCAGTACTGTCTTTATTTTGAAATACTTTACGGATAAGTAAAAACATTGCAAAAACATGCACCAAAAGAAAACTATATTCAAAATTGAGAAATTAGCATTCCCCCATCTCACCTCTGCTCTGATAACAGCACTTTTCTTGTCTTGTTCGGCTTTCTCCACAACAAATTTTGCCCTCTCAGCCTCTTGTGCAGCTACCTGTTTAGCTTCAATTGCAGTCAGAAACTCCTTTCCAAAAGTCAGGTTAGTGATAGACACATCATCCAGTGCAATGTTAAAATTCGCTGCCCTCTCTGTCAAAATTTTCCGTATCTCCCTACTGACGGCCTACGAAATAATAAGAATACCGTCAATAACAGTCAGTGACACATGGAATACCATCTCCAATTTCTCCCTCACATAATATGTACACAACGGAAGTGTACAAGTTTGCAATGTACCATAAAGGAAGAGGAAATAAAAGACCCTACTCATAATCAGTACTGCTTCAAATGATTTGAGTTATGGAAATCTACCATTTGAGTTGCATCAGAAAGAATAGATCACCAGAGATGCACAATAATCAAGAACACTTCCCACTAGCCAATGAACTTTTTAACTCAAAGTGAGGAGGATGAAAGCAAGAGCGTCAAACTTGCACTTTAAATCCCAAGCCCTCATACCAATCAACCATTTGAATACCTATCACACTTTTGAGTACCAGCTTTATTGGATTTTGAAAAAAGAGTACTGGCTATTAAATCAGCACTGCACTTGTTAGACAACCTTCCTATTACTGAATTAATCGGTATTTTACCCTTTTATTTCCGGTTTTAAAAGTTTTTGGTACATTATTGGCCTAGATAGTGATTTCTCGCTGGTAAATTGAACTATTACCTTGTTTTCTTTAGATCAAATATCATATTATATATACCTACAACATAACATATTAAACATGCAAAAGACATTTCATTACCTCAAAGGTTAAAAAGAAAAACCAGTACCTAGTTGTGGGAGAGAGAAAGGGGAGAAGGGGATCAAGAAAAAAAAAACCTAAAGCGATAACCAATTGAAATAAAACCCAAACTTAACATAACCAAACAGTCCTAGTTATAGCCAAAAGAAAATGATACACCTTCTGCTTACCTCTCTCTGAGTAATAAGTTGGCTGGCATTATACTGTGCAACTACAGCTTTCAAAGTTTCATGGATAATTGAAGGCATGACCCTCTCAACATAATTCTCACCCAGAGTTCGATAAACTGTAGGTAATTCGTCTGGCACGGGACGGGTCAGCACTCGAAGACCTACTAATACCTGGAAGAAAAACCAAAATATGTAGAAATAAAATGAATTATGATTAGTCAGTTTGAAAATTTTCACTTTCCAAAACTATTACTGCCCCCTTAAACCTTTGTATCCTAAATTCTTAAACAACACTATAAACACTTCACTGGAAAGTGGAAACTACAAATGGATAATACCAGGTTCAACTCAATACGACAGCAGATAGCAATTCTCACACATAAAAGACCAGGAGCAAGAGGGAAAATGGGTGCCCAGCAACATAATGGGTGGGATGAGTTAACGACACAAGAATTCATGAGAATTCGGAAACTTTTGGGATCTGATGGGTAGAATAACATCACTGTAGGCATTAGCCACGACAATAACTTATCACAAGATTTAAGGGTTTTTGATGTGTTCTATAGATGTAATGAACGGTGATGCAAGTGTTTCAACCTTTGACATACATAGTTCATGGGGATTGCATTTGTACCTTACCCTATCCTACCTGAAAGTAAATCATAATTGAACTCTCATATGAAAAATAGCTGATCAAATTCATAGAGATAGAGGATGTCCTACTTTAGGACCTCAAAGCCATGCTCTTAAAGTTCACTACATAACTTATACAAGTCGATGAAAAAATTGTTTAGGAAAAAATCGAATAACCTCAAACACATACTTTATTACAGTGGCCAATTTGTATAAATTTTAAAGCTGTTCTGAGAATTTTCCAGGAAAAAGATTAGGATATTTACATACCATCTGGAGGTCACGGCTTCCAGCTTTACTCTCCACTACATAAGGTTTTGCACGAACATCATAGATGACCGGCCTTTCAAACCATGGAATTATAAGGTGTGTCCCTTCAGGATAAACCTGCAACTTTAAGATGTAAATATATTGTGCTGCAAAAGTAGATACAGAAAAAAGACATGCTACAGATAAAGTTATGGACATACAAGTATAGAACAAAACTGTTCAATTCATAATATTGTGATATTCCACTTTTGTTTCTGTTTTGTGCAAAGCATGTGCTGAATTGGACACAGATTGGCTCCATGTGAGCTATATAAGCAATTACAACAGATCTCATTATTGACCAGTCCTCTTAAAGTCATTTTTAGGTCGTGAAAAATGTGTTCAACAAGATTTTAAAACGATCGAACGTTACACAATTCCCAAGAACTGGAGAAAAGAACTAACCTTGTCTTTGACACCAACAAGACGACTGAACACAATGGACCTATGCCCTCCATCGACATTGTAGAGACTATTGTTAAGTCCATATACACCAAGACTACCAACAACTCCCACCGTAAGCAAAGCAGCAATGCCACGAGCTCCAGGAAGTTTGGGGACTTTCATCTTGTTCAAATTCATGTTTTTGAATGCTGAGTGTGGACAGGTTAAATGCCAGTGTTATTAATCCAAGTAAATCATTCAAAATAATGCCCTTATTTTTCTTCGATTCATGTTCGTGAATCTCGTAGACACTCCCATTTTTCTCTCCTCCTAAAATTTTCTTACCGGCCAAACATAACCTAGAAAATTGGACGAAAATCAGAAAAGAAAACAAACCCAACTTACAAATCTCATTACTTTGTTACCTAAACAGTAAAACCAGAACGAGTAAACAACAATCGGTTGAAAAATAAGGTCCAAAATGTCGATTTTTCCGCAAATTTTCCTTTTTTCTTTTTTGTTTGCTAAAAAACTTTCTCACCATCCAAACACAAAATTAACAAAGAAATGCACAAACGAAGAAGAATGGGTAGATAGATGGGAACACTAAAACACGAAAAACCGAAAAGATCGAGCAGATATCACCATACCAGAAGAATCTGGAGAGTCCACTGGCGAACAGAAATGAGATGCACGTGGAGGGTTTAGGGTTTATGGCCAAATTATAAATGCCTAAAATAATAGAAAGCAAGAAACAAGGAAAAGCGAATGCGTGAGGAAGGGGTTGGAATTACCGAATAAACGACATGTCGTCGATTCTCTACAATCCCCCGTTTGGCGGGAACCACACACAATACGGCACGTCGTGCGTCGTCTCTGGTAGAATCAAATTACAAACCCACACGCGACCACCATTCTCCCCTCTTTTCAAATTTACTTCTTCCCTCTCTCTCTCTGCGCTCATCAATGGCGAAGGCAATGAGTCCAAAACCGCCAGCAGCGCCGAGGAGTACGGCGTCGACGGCGAGCCGTCCCGAATCGCCTACCAGTCCGCTTTTCGTTTTGTGCTCCAACGACGACCAGCTCGAACGTGCACAGGCACGCGTGGCACGCGCCGCCGCTATTCGTCGCAAGGCGGCTACAGTTTCCGCTCATTCTTCTCTACCGGACGATCGTTGTCTCAGCGGAAAACAGATTATAAAACTCTTTCAAGAATGTATCAAACTCGCCAGCGAAAATGTCCGTACAAACCATCACCACACTCCCACTCCGCTCTGTCTGCTTATCTAATCTATGAAATTACATACAAAAAAATAGATTGCTGAGTGCGTTTAGTAATACAGTTACTATATTTGCTGTTATTGACCAAATTTTATGAGGGTTTGTTTGGTTGCTGAGAAAATGCGGGAAAGGAAACATATACTTAAAAATCATACCTTTCTATGTTTTTTTCATTCCTAAAGGAAAAAAAGCGGCTCATTAGTTTATTTTATTTTCAAAGTTTTCGATATTTTTGTGATTTTTTGTTTTGTTTTCTGTATACTAGAAAATAACCCAGAAGAACACGTGGGAGCTTAAGCTTATCGATCATCTTAGCGACATTATTAAGGTTGGAACGGAAAATGGCGCGGAGACTAATTTTCACAAGGTTTGGAGCACTTATCGTGAAAATTGGTTGGTTTTTGGGATATTGTTGGTGTTTATGTATGTACTTGTGGAGATATTATTGTTATTGGTTTTGAGTGAATAGGCAAGTTGCACATTGGAAGCCGGGTTGAAAATCTACTCGGCGAGGGTGGATTCATTGCACGCTGAGGCATATAAGGTCCTAAGTGGGATGAATCGAGCTCGTCTTGAAGATGAACAAGGTTGGTGGTTTAGACATTGGTTTAGGTCTGTAATTATTTTTGTGTCACAGATTTTGTGGTCCCTTTTTTCTTTATCTCAGGCAGTTTTCGGATTTATTAGCTTTGAGGTTCACCGCTTCTTTGCTTTCGTCAGTTCCCTAATGTTTTGCTTTGGCGACAGTAACTACCACAGAGGATGGCCATGTCAGCAACAAGCAGGGTAGGGAGAAAGAGTCAGAGAGGAAGGTATGAACTATTTGTGTTTTAATTATATTGCATTACAAACTTTGACTGCAAGTTCAAAGTAATGAATGTAGTTGTAACAGATAGATCCAATGTCGACAGTGGAATCCTCCTTCGAAGCTCTTAACATAAAGAAGTTTGATGGTAACTAGACTATCCATTTTGGTTATTATCTTGTTACCTTTTAAAGTTCTAATTTGATTTATTTTTGAACTTTAGTCACATTGGTGGCGGATCCTCTATATCATCAAACGTTTGCACAGTTGGATGAAGGTGGAGCCAAGGGTCTGCTACTGAATAACCTTGGAGCATGTGGAGGATGCCAGGTGCTTTCTGATGCGTACGAAGTTCCAGGGAAGTGCAGATCATGTTCATTGCAAAGTACTGCCTTGGAATTGATTGATCTCTCTTTTGCCAAAGGCGAGTGAGATTAGAATCTCTTGCTTCATTTGACCAAATCACCATCTCAGTGAGGTGGCAAATCAACTGATTGGGTTGTTAATGTGTAACCATTATGACTCGTTTAGTTTGACAGCACCATAATATGGTGGTGAGATTGGTAGTGGTGATGATGGTGTAATACCTTATTATGGTGAAATCAAACTAAATGGGTCTTAAAAATTACCCCTTAAGAACCCAATGGGTTGATTTGCCACCTCTTTCTCATCCCTTCTCCCCTCCCTGCCTTTTTTATTTGTCTTCTCTTTCAGCCATTTATTTATTTTTTGGTTTCTATGTAGAATCTCTTGAGCAGATGGTGGTGGGCATACGCGCAAAGACTGAAATATGTCCTACTCTCAAGGAGATATTTTGCCAATTTGATGAAAATAATCATCGATCATCTCAAGATTTTAATATAAGCCAGAATGCAGATCTCAAAACGGATCCCTTCAATGCTGCGGACTATTACAAATTGAACATTGATCAAAATGATCATATGGGTGGTGATCAAGAGAATATGAGTTTCGGACCTTCATTTCAAAGTCATCATGAGGTACTTGTTATGGCTATATACAGAAGTCATTTAGACTTTGATAAATGGCTTGTTACATAACACGTTTCCGCCAGCAATTCTCTAGTTTTCTCTATATAGTCTTGCTGAATGAAAAAGATAAATGGAATACGTTTTCTAAATTTGCGCAGGATAATAACTCCCATACATCATATGAAGCGGATGTGGATGACAGATTTGAGAAAGTTTCTATGTTTTTGTTTCAAGGTTTGCGATTAAAGGAAAATTCATGGGCTGGTCCTGATCACTGGAAGTATAGGAGGCCTAAGGGTTGGTGTTACAAAGGAAATGACTTTTCGGTTTGCTCTGTTGTGGGTAAGCCTTGATTTTACCGTCTTTGTTTTCTATTCTGTAGGTTCAGAGGAAGCTCCTGCCACTCGAAGCAGACCAGCTACTAATATATCAAAGAACAAAAACTATAAGGAAGTTGAGCTTGATTTCACAGCATCTCTAGACAACGAAATTCCAAATGTCTTTGCTGTGCCAAAAAATTTCAAGTCTTTACTCCTACCTCCAAATAGAATACCTGTCAGTAACAGGCTTCCAGATGACTGCCATTATAAACCTGAGAATCTTGTCAAGTTGTTTCTTCTTCCCAATGTTCTGGTAATGATTTCTCCATGTTGTCCAATAATATACAAATCCATTGTTATCCATGATAAAAAATTTCAAGGAAAGATGGAGATTCTGACATGATCATGATCTCACTCCATGTATAGGATGCTAATCCAGGGTAGATAATCCATCGGTTGAGTTTGTGATAACTACAGTATAAGAAACCGCGAAATAAAATTTGTCACTTAGTTAAAGAGTTGAATACAAATGATAACATGCTATTACTCAGAATATGTTGTACTCGTGCAGTTCCATGTTTCATATTTTGTTTGTGTACAAGCTTAATTCCGTAATGTAGTAAGGGCTGGTTTTGTTATGAGCTGAGCCTAGGTTATGCTAAGCCAATCTTGAACTGTTTATCAGGTCTAAAACCATACAATGGTCTTGTGCCTTAAAATGATGGCCAAATGGTTAGCCTGTCCAAGCTGTAGGCTTAATATTGGCCTTAGGACACTTTTTTCTCATATTTCTGCCTAGGTTTCATAAGTTTCTGAATCCTTATGTTGTTTGATGTGGCTAGTGGTAAAATTTCAATTTTTATTGTAGTGCCTTGGGAAGAGAAGACAACAGCATACAGGTATCAGCTTCTTCGTACAAGCGGGTGTGTGTGTGTGTGTCAGTTTAAACATCCATCATGATTCAAATGTCTATTTATCATCCATTTGTAATCTTGTTTTAATGGTTTTTTATCTATTGGCTTATGATAGTGATCTTATTTTAATCTAGAACGAAAAAGGCTAATTTCTGCACAACTCTTACTAGAATTGAAGGATGACTCTTAGTTTTAATTTTCAGATTATAACTCCTGGAAACAAAGTCACAATTTTGATGTAGCATTGCCATCATGGGACGATGAGAGTGTGCTTAGTGGCCAATATAATGATGGATGTATTCATAGCGATGTAGAAGACTCGGATACTCTTGTTTCTCCACCTCGTCAGGTTTCAAATTTTTCTTTGTTAGTTTGTGAATATGAAAACTCTACCTTGGTAGTTGGTGCTCATTTGGAATTTTAGATTAGGTCAGTAGATCATTGGGCGAAACTGCAATAACAAAAACCCTGCATGCTGGGGTTGTTCATTTTTTGTTGCTTTCCTGGACATACAATTGCCTTGTGTGTGAACTGAAATTACAATGTCCTCATTGTCTAATGATAATAACGCACTGAGAAAATCAATTTTTTGGGAGTGCTGGGCGTTGTGTTTCCGCACTAAGAACTTCTGGTTAAAGACTGTGACTTGTGATGTTTCAGGTAAGCAACCTTGAAGTTCAGTACGACAGAACTTCAAAACAAGTTGATGTTCATGCATTGAAGGAAACTCTGTGGGGTCATATGCAAGAATCTGCCAGAGTTCCTACTGCGGTAAGCATATTCTGATTGCATGTGCGGAATTCATATTGTTTTTCTTCAACATGTTCATGAAATTTTTTTCCAATCTCATAACTTAAGTATCTCTTTGCAAGTTACTCAGGGATATATTTTCTTGTTTTATCTACTAAAGGAGGCTTTTCATTCATTCTGACTATTACTCTACTTACAGAAGGAATTCAAAGACACCATATCCTTCAAGTATGTCCTGGCTACCTTTCCTGTCAATTGCCAAGCTGCAGCGGCTCAGGATATCACGCCCCATTTGTGTTTCATCTGCCTTTTGCATCTAGCTAATGACCGCGGGCTAAGCATAGATGACTGCCCAACTTTAGATGACATGAACATTCATCTTCCATCTCGTCGAATCTCAGATGGAGTGGACCAGCCCTCATCGTAGGCAAAGATGTAGTGTACATTTTGATATGTGAATATTTGAAGCCGGCTTGTCATCGCCATATGCAAGCAACCGGGGCCTTTCGAGCAGTACTGAAAGAAACGTAAGCCTATTTCAGTCGCCTTGATTCTCATGTTTTGCTGCATGCTGTTGTGTTGATTTTGAGCACGCCCTGGACTTGCCTAGGCTAATCCAGCTTCTGTATATGCTGTTCAATGTGTCGTGTGAATTTGATATGAAATATCAACTCCTAATTTGCTTCCTGTGCAATAATTTTATTTGATTTTTTGCTTGCAACCAAACTTTTTATGACCAACCTTCTAGTTTAACTGCAAACCATGTTGTCAATGGGAATGCTAACACTAGTCACGCATCACTGAATGCTAGCCATTGTTCTTTATGTTTCCCGCTTCGGGTCCCAGAATGATTAACGGGTAGCATCCATAGGGCCCATGTGCGATTGACGCTGGCACAACTCTTATGTCGATTAGTAGAAATTGAGAAGGTATGCAAGGTGAGCTGGGATTGTAGTTTAATGGTACCAATTATAAGCAACGTAGCTATTTTAGAAAGCTAGGCTCTCAACTGAAGAGTTGTTTGCTGCCGGTACAAGTTATACAATAATAGGGCTTGTTTGGTATGCAAAATTGATAAATAAAAATTATTCACTTCTACTTTTAATACACCTTAAAACTAGGGGTTACTCGTTCCAATGCAATCGTACATACCAAACGGGCGGAAATCTTGGACGAAAAACACATAAAGGAAACTGTGAGTTATCTGGCGCTTAGTTGGATCAGAAGGATAAGGGAGTATCTAAATCTGTTGGACAAGATTTGTCGGTGCAAAGCACGTTGAGCATTGCTTTCTTTCTTTCTATTTCAAGTCTCCTAATATCTCTTCCTCCATTTCCAATGCTAGGAAAAGTGGACTCATCATCGTCATCATTGTCATCCTACAACCTAGAAAGAACATTTAGAATCCTTTCGATTTAATTATGACCGATATTTGATTACTCAAAGATGAATAAGAATTTTTATTCAAAATTTTTCAAAATTGTTTGTTGTCAATTTATAGAACTTCGTGTTTATAATCTGAACCGTTCAAATTATAAATCACTCTATAAAGATCATCTCTACAAAAAATTAAATAAAAATAAGGTCGTTTAATCATTAAGTTGTTTGAAAACAAATGAACGGTATTGATAAAAGTATTACGAACCGTCTATGCATTTGCTATAATAAATTGATTAAACGACCTTAGTTATAATTTATTTTCGGCATAGATGATCATTACAGTATGATTCATAATATGAACGGTTCTGATCTTGAGTACAAAGCTCTATAATTAAAATACTAAGGTTTTGAGTAAAAACTCGTACTCATTTTTGAGTAGCTAATTATTGTTCTTTAGTTATTTTCGGTTGGATTGAGTGCTTGTGTAGGTTTATAGGCTATCTGATCTCATGTGGGTCCTACAATTGTCTGTACACACAAATATTATGGACTGCATTAGTCATCTAATTTAACTTATTTAAGATTACAGATTGTTCAAAAAGGTAACAAAAGAAAAGTTTGACTAGTAAAATCATGTGCATTTGTATCCTTTGCCTTATCCATTTCTTTGGGAGCCATCTATTGATTCTATTTATGGGGTCTCTCTTGACAAGTACTGAAAATTAGGATTCAAATAAATAAATATTGTTCTTTATTTTTAAAAAATTGTTATCCGCATTTCATATTAGGTGTTATGTATTTCGCATTATAAATCGGGATGAGATACTCATTGTACTGAAGGACTGCATGACTAATACTTGTCTATTTTTGTTGATATTTAAGAAAGAGTTAATGCTAATTTGCTTTAATTATTTTTACTTAGTACTACAATTTAGTGGTATTCTTTTTTACTTATAAGTGAAAAATCTTATGTTCGATTCTCGTCAAATATGAATTTGAACCACAATATTGTTAACACATTATGAGACTTAGTCAACTTCTTCATTTTTTTAAAGTAGATAATATTATTAGTTTAAAAAAGAATTATCTGCTTTAACAACTAGAAAAGATAATAATTAAATAAAAAAGGGGAATTCAGAAGAAAAGAAAAAAGTTTGCGGATCCTTTTAGGTGTGTCTTAAAGTCGGGTCATTTTATTTTGATTGGAATAAGCGAAAAAGTCCAAAATGCACGGAGAAGTGGGCCTTGGAAGTGGAGGGGTTGTGACGGACCATTCACTACAGCCTACAGGCGCACTAGTGCTGCAAGTGGGACTCTATGCTTGATTCTTGGGGGTCCACAATTAATTAGCCGACTCATAAAAAAAAGAAATTGTAGCAAAAAACTTCTAGTATTGTTCATTGTAACGAAAAATTATATTTTTACACTAAAAAGTCAATTATGGTACTATTCACTTTACCCTTTATTTTGTTCTTATTGTTAAAAATCAAAGTTTTTAAACGGTTTTCATTAGTTTTTTTTAAAAAAAATTTAGCGTAAGTGTTATTATCAATTTACTTATGTTATTAGCATGAATTTAGTTTTTAATACCTTAAATCTATGTCATATGAATTATGTGGTTCGTTTTTCTGAGTACAACAATATATTTTACACTAAGGGGGAGGAGGAGTTCGACTAAACCACACAATGGGCAACCTAATTTGGTATTGAATTCATCATCCACGAGATTCGAACCTAAAACCTCTCACTTACAAGTGAAGAGAAATACCACCAAACTGTAGGACTGAGTAGCTATGTGATTCGATCGTTTCAATATGATATACTCTTGAGTGTGATATCAATATATTAAACTCATACTAAAATAATAGTATTATTATAAGTATCAAATTTAAATTGCCTAATTTCTATATAAAAGTATCGTACTCACTCCAACTACTACACTATGAAAGGTATATGGGATGTGATTCAAAATAAAAATTTTCTCCACAACACAATTAGCCCATCGTGGGACCCGATGCAAGCTTAATCTGCAGGAACCGCACGTTTCTGCTATGAGCTAGTTAACCTCTTAACCATGGAAACAAAAAGAGCAAATGAAAGCAATTGAAGAATATTCTTTCACCGACCTTATCAACCATTGTCCAATTATATTCAAATCTCACTCCCTCTTGCATGTTATCTGCTGTTATATCTTTCTTGTATAGAATCTTGCTCCTAAAATGGACGATAATATTGTTAATCTTCTTATATATTAATACGAACCATGTTGGAGAAGGGAGGGATTAAACACGAAATTTCAGGCGAAGGGTTGAATGTGCTTAAGCAGTTGATATACAAGTTCATTATAAATATACTGTAAAAAGTAAAGAAATCGAACATAGAATCTTATGTGTTAAGTCTTAATGTTCTTAACCACTTGAATTACAAGTGTATTATGATGATACTGTAGATTGTCGAAGGGGGAAATTGAACATAAAATCTCAGATGTAAGGTTGAGTGCTCTTATCTACTACTGGAGTTACTAGTCATTTACTATGATACTCTAGAAGGGAGGAATCAAATATGGAACCTCAGTACATGAGCGAAAGCTCTTGACAATTTAAATTATTAGTTCCTAGCTTCTGATCAATTTCTAACTGATGCGTGAATTTGAGTATACGGACATAGAACCAAATATGTAAGTTTGAATGCTCTAAACGTATACAAATCACGTGCGATGATATTGTAAACAAAATCAAACATAGAGCATTAGATGTAAGAGTGGATGCTCTTACTGCTAAGTGCTAACCGGTGAGTGCGTTTGAGTATATGAACGTACATAATTCGATTGATCCTTTGCTTAATTAAATGAATTGATCGTGAAAATGACATGCATGAAGAGATAAAAATTGTAGTGTGATTAAGGCACTGCTGGCTTCCTATGAATTTCTTTTGTACTTATTTTGACTATTATAATAATATTCTGCGGCCATGATCCTATGAGCAAGACAATTCTATCTCTCTCTATAAATATGTCCCTAGGCTTTTACTTGTTCTCTACTACCATAAACCACATCCCTCTCACTCCTCTCATTCTTCGCACTTCATCCTTATTATTCCTACTACCCGCACCACCTTTTCAGTCCCTCAGCAGACGCCATGAGCAAGCTTAATGAAAAATCTCAGATTCTTATGTTTTCTCTGCTAGTTTTTCTTCTCGTCCTTGCACCTTTGTTGTCCTCCTCACTAAGGACTCCTTACCTCTACATCATCACTAACCTCCTCATCATTGCCCTCGGAGCACAAGCCGGCGTCCTCTCTTCCTTTTCCAAACCTGATTCAGACCATGACAAGAAGAACGGCTCTGGCGCCAGTTTTTCTTTTGCTCCCAAACCTGTGGTTCCCACGGAGCTAGCCTCCGACGAAAAAAGGGTTGTTTCCCGAAATGATGAACATCAAACGGTTGTTGCTCCGCAATATGTCGAAAAGAAGGCTAGGGTTGTTGAGAAATCCAAGTCTGAGAAGATTGTGGACACTGTGAAAGTGGAGAGTGTGAAGAAGTGTACTTCTATGCCTAGCCTTTTCTTCATAGGGGGAGGTGAGACTTATCATGGAGATCACGAAGTGGTCGAGGAAAAGCGTTACATTGAGGGAGAAGAAGAAGTTTTCGAGGAGCTTAGTGGGCAAGAGCTGTTTGCTAAAGCTGAGAACTTTATTAGCAACTTCTACAAGCAGCTGAAGATGCAGAGGGAAGACTCATGGAAGAAGATTCATGAGTTTTATCACAAAGCCTTCTAATATTTCTGCTGCAATTTTATAAATGTTGTTATTGTATGTCATAATCTAGGTCATTGGTTTTTTGGGGATTATGATGGGTCAGAGGGAAACAATCCATGTAATTTAAGTAATGGTTCCTCCTTAATATCATTATTTGCGTTTGTACAGAACTACTGAAGTTACTAGTTCAGACATATTAAGAAAAAAAAAGAAAGAAAGATAATATAATCTAATTATACATATATATAATTCCTTGTACTGAATCTCCATAAATTTGAATATTATTTTATGGGTAATGAGTAATGAAATTTTATGATTGTCAAAAAAAAAGAAAAAAAAAAAAGTGATGAAATTTTATGTTTTCTATTAGATCCTTACTGAAACATGTTACAAATTGATATCAAGTTTCTCTTTTTAGTCCTTGCAAGCTTAACATTTTGCAGTTGTTCTGTCTAATATACTCATCTGCAATCCAAGAACTGTTGACATCAGTGAAAATTAATCAACTCTAGCTCCAGTACTGCTTAAAAGAAAATGTTGTGGAGATGTTGGTAGAATGTAAAAGGTTATACCATACAAATAATATTGGGTGTGTGTATAGCAATAGCCATAATATT